AGACCCACAGACTCACACAGAGACCCACAGCCTCGCACAGATACCCACAGACGCACACAGAGACCCACAGTCTCACACAGAGACCCACAGGCTCACACAGAGAACCATAGACTCACAGAGACCCATAGACTCACACAGAGACCCACAGACTCACACAGAGACCCATAGACTCACACAGAGACCCACAGTCTCACACAGAGACCCATAGACTCACACAGAGACCCATAGTCTCACACAGAGACCCATAGACTCACATAGAGACCCACAGTCTCACACAGAGACCCATAGACTCACAGAGACCCATAGACTCACACAGAGACCCACAGACTCACACAGAGACCCATAGACTCACACAGATACCCACAGACTCACACAGAGACCCACAGTCTCACACAGAGACCCACAGACTCACACAGAGACCCACAGACTCACACAGAGACCCACAGGCTCACACAGAGACCCATAGACTCACACAGAGACCCATTGACTCACACAGAGACCCACAGTCTCACACACAGACCCATAGACTCACACAGAGACCCATAGTCTCACTCAGAGACCCACAGTCTCACACAGAGACCCACAGACTCACACAGATACCCATAGACTCACACAGAGACCCACAGACTCACACAGCGACCCATAGACTCACACAGAGACCCACAGACTCACACAGAGACCCATAGACTCACACAGAGACCCACAGGCTCGCACAGATACCCACAGACTCACACAGAGACCCACAGTCTCACACAGAGACCCACAGGCTCACACAGAGAACCATAGACTCACAGAGACCCATAGACTCACACAGAGACCCACAGACTCACACAGAGACCCATAGACTCACACAGAGACCCACAGTCTCACACAGAGACCCATAGACTCACACAGAGACCCATAGTCTCACACAGAGACCCATAGACTCACATAGAGACCCACAGTCTCACACAGAGACCCATAGACTCACAGAGACCCATAGACTCACACAGAGACCCACAGACTCACACAGAGACCCATAGACTCACACAGATACCCACAGACTCACACAGATACCCACAGTCTCACACAGAGACCCACAGACTCACACAGAGACCCACAGACTCACACAGAGACCCACAGGCTCACACAGAGACCCATAGACTCACACAGAGACCCATTGACTCACACAGAGACCCACAGTCTCACACACAGACCCATAGACTCACACAGAGACCCATAGTCTCACTCAGAGACCCACAGTCTCACACAGAGACCCACAGACTCACACAGATACCCATAGACTCACACAGAGACCCACAGACTCACACAGCGACCCATAGACTCACACAGAGACCCACAGACTCACACAGAGACCCATAGACTCACACAGAGACCCACAGGCTCGCACAGATACCCACAGACTCACACAGAGACCCACAGACTTACACAGAGACCCATAGACTCACACAGAGACCCACAGTCTCACACAGATACCCACAGACTCACACAGAGACCCACAGACTCACACAGAAACCCATAGACTCACACAGAGACCCACAGACTTACACAGAGACCCATAGACTCACACAGAGACCCACAGACTCACACAGAGACCCACAGACTCACACAGAGACCCACAGACTCACACAGATACCCATATACTCACACAGAGACCCACAGACTTACACAGAGACCCATAGACTCACACAGAGACCCACAGACTCACATAGAGACCCACAGACTCACACAGAGACCCACAGTCTCACAAAGAGACCCATAGACTCACACAGAGACCCACAGACTCACACAGAGACCTATAGACTCACACAGAGACCCACAGTTTGTTTTACTTCCCCCGAACCTCTGATTAGCACTGTTGGCTGCGTACGGTGCGAAAGAAGTTCACACACAGCACGTACATCACACGTGACGACCACCACCACCTCCGCCCCTCCAGCCAACAGCAGCAGCAGCGGCCATAGGCGTGTCACTGGCGTCACCGCTGCGGTTACAGCAGCGGGCAGGTTGCAGCAACAGGCAGGTTGCAGCAGCAGGCAGGTTGCAGCAGCAGGCAGGTTGCAGCAACAGGCAGGTTGCAGCAGCAGGCAGGTTGTAGCAGCAGGCAGGTTGCAGCAACAGGCAGGTTACAGCAACAGGCAGGTTGTAGCAGCAGGCAGGTTGTAGCAGCAGGCAGGTTGCAGCAACAGGCAGGTTGCAGCAACAGGCAGGTTGTAGCAACAGGCAGGTTGCAGCAACAGGCAGGTTACAGCAACAGGCAGGTTGCAGCAGCAGGCAGGTTGTAGCAGCAGGCAGGTTGCAGCAACAGGCAGGTTGCAGCAACAGGCAGGTTGTAGCAGCAGGCAGGTTGCAGCAACAGGCAGGTTACAGCAACAGGCAGGTTGCAGCAACAGGCAGGTTACAGCAACAGGCAGGTTACAGCAACAGGCAGGTTGCAGCAGCAGGCAGGTTACAGCAGCAGGCAGGTTGCAGCAGCAGGCAGGTTACAGCAGCAGGCAGGTTACAGCAACAGGCAGGTTACAGCAGCAGCAGGTTACAGCAGCAGGCAGGTTACAGCAGCAGGCAGGTTACAGCAGCAGGCAGGTTACAGCAACAGACAGGTTGTAGCAACAGGCATGTTACAGCAGCAGGCAGGTTGTAGCAACAGGCAGGTTACAGCAGCAGGCAGGTTGCAGCAACAGACAGGTTACAGCAGCAGGCAGGTTACAGCAGCAGGCAGGTTACAGCAGCAGGCAGGTTACAGCAACAGGCAGGTTACAGCAGCAGGCAGGTTACAGCAACAGGCAGGTTACAGCAGCAGGCAGGTTACAGCAACAGGCAGGTTGCAGCAGCAGGCAGGTTACAGCAGCAGGCAGGTTACAGCAACAGGCAGGTTACAGCAGCAGCAGGTTACAGCAGCAGGCAGGTTACAGCAGCAGGCAGGTTACAGCAACAGGCAGGTTGCAGCAACAGGCAGGTTACAGCAACAGGCAGGTTACAGCAGCAGGCAGGTTACAGCAGCAGGCAGGTTACAGCAGCAGGCAGGTTGTAGCAACAGGCATGTTACAGCAGCAGGCAGGTTGTAGCAACAGGCAGGTTACAGCAGCAGGCAGGTTACAGCAACAGGCAGGTTACAGCTACAGGCAGGTTACAGCAGCAGGCAGGTTACAGCTACAGGCAGGTTGCAGCAACAGGCAGGTTACAGCAGCAGGCAGGTTGCAGCAACAGGCAGGTTACAGCAGCAGGCAGGTTGTAGCAACAGGCAGGTTACAGCAACAGGCAGGTAATTACAACAACGACTCACACCACGACCGAGCCCATTGGAGTGCCCTCAGTTTGTAGAAAGTTCCATTCCAAGTGAAGTATGTATTTGTATGGAATTGATGTGGTCGAAGAATTGGTCTAGAGCAGGCCGGCCATGTGGCCAGATGACAAAAGTGTCATCCACGTACCTCTTCCATAAGGTTGGGCGCAGAGTGGCAGTCTGGATGGCGTCAGTCTCAAATTTCTCCATGAAAATGTTAGCTATAACTGGAGAAAGGGGGGAGCCCATTGGGGTGCCCTCAGTTTGTTTGTAGAAAGTTCCATTCCAAGTGAAGTATGTATTGGTTAAACAGTGTCTCACCAGGGGGGGTACCTCAGTGTTTAGTCCTTGATGAACCAAGTCTTCAATGATTGTGATGGTGTCAGGTACAGGAACTTTGGTGAATAAGGAAACTACATCAGAACTGCTAAGCAGGTCGTCTGGGGATAGGGAAATACCCGTGATTGTCGATACCAGGTGAGTAGAATTTTGTACCGCAGAGGTGTTTTTTTCAGTGAAAGGCCGCAGGATTTCAGACAGAAAACGAGCCAGTTTTTAGATAGATAGATCCTTTATTGTCATTGTCACCAGTACAACGAAATTTAAAGTGCTCCCCAGTCAGTACATCATTCATAAATTTAAATAGTAGGGACGAAGGGGTGTATCTACTTTATGTATTTTTGGTAAGCCGTATAATCTTGGTGGCCTGGCAGCAGAAGGTTTCAATAAGAACTGTTTGGTTTGATCAATTAATCAGAAATTATTTTGTTGGTTTGTATGACGAGGCTGTTGGTGGGATCTCTTTATTTTTGTATAGTTGCCATCGTTGAGTAATTCTTGAATTTTGTTGTTATAGTCTATTTTTTCCATGATGACAGTGGCATTGCCCTTGTCGGCTGAGAGGATGACAATGTCATCCCTCTTTTATAATTTATATAATTCAAAACGCTCATCTTTGATGAGGTTGCTAGCTGGCATCTTAGCGTTTTTGTAGTTGATGTAGTTGATGTTGCTGTTGTCGATGTTGATGTTTATGTAGTTGATGTATATTCTTGGTTCTTTCAGTAAAGTCACGTAGAAGGGAAACATAAAATAATAAATATATATAAAACAATAAAATTAATCAGGTGTGAAAACCACAACAAGAAAATTTGAAAAAAGTGGCTTTTTAACGTTAGCACCACGGAGAGCGATTTGGCAGTTTGTTCAGATGGACGAGTCCATCTATATTCGGAAAAGAGGAGGGGGGAGACGAAAATAATGGATGCGGTCTGAAAGCCACCGTAAGCGTGATCAATCAATTAAGACCCGAAATGGTTTATCAAATCCTTCCAATGATTGCTAAGCCATAATCCATCTTCTCGGTTGAAATTGTTTCTGTGTTTGTATATGTGGATAGCCTCATGAACGAATCTCTCATGGTAGCCCGATGGCTTGCAAAGAACCTCTGTCTTGGAGAAGTCAATGTCATGTGAGCCTACTGAATTATAACAGTGATCTGCCACGGCCGAGGTGTTGGTCCTACCGTGTTTAAGGTCTGCTTCGTGTTCACGGATGCGGTCCGTGACTTTACTGAAAGAACCAAGAATATGAATCCCTGCAGTCACGAAAGCTTTAAATCAAAAATGTAGTTGATGTAGTTGATGTTGCTGTTGTCGATATTGATGTAGTTGATGTAGTTGATGTCGTGATTTTGTTGTTGTTGCTGTTGTTGCAGGGAGTGATGGCTGCCGGCAACGCTGCGACGGTGAGGAGGAGGCCCAAGGCTGGGAACCCGGACGGCGTTGGGGCTGCTGACATTGCAGACGCAGCCTGTGGAGCCGGGCAGTGGGGACGTGCCTGGTGAGATCACACACACACCCACACACACCACACACACACACCACACACACACCACACACACACCACACACACACCACACACACCACACACACACCACACACCCACCACACACACCACACACACACACACCACACACACCACACACACACACCACACACCACACACACACCACACAAACACCACACACACACCACACACACACACCACACACACACACCACACACACACCACACACCACACACACACCACACACCACACACACACACACACCACACACACACCACACACACACCACACACACCACACACACACATCACACACCACACACACACCACACACACCACACACACACACACCACACACACACACACCACACACACACCACACACACACCACACACACACACACCACACACACACCACACACACACACCACACACCACACACACACCACACACACACCACACACACACACACACCACACACACACCACACACACACCACACACACCACACACACACTCCACACACACACTCCACACACACACACCACACACACACACACCACACACACACCACACACACACACACCACACACACACCACACACACACCACACACACACACCACACACACACCACACACACACCACACACACACACCACACACACACCACACACACACCACACACACACACACCACACACACACACCACACACACACCACACACACACCACACACACACCACACACACACACACCACACACACACCACACACACCACACACACACCACACACACACCACACACACCACACACACACACACCACACACACACACACCACACACACACACCACACACACACCACACACACACACACACGCACCACACACACACCACACACACACACACACACCACACACACACCACACACACACACACCACACACACACACCACACACACACACCACACACACACCACACACCACACACACCACACACACACCACACACACCACACACACACCACACACACACCACACACCACACACACCACACACACACCACACACACACACCACACATACACCACACACACACCACACACACACCACACACCACACACACACCACACACACACACCACACACACACCACACACACACCACACACACACACCATACACACACCACACACCACACACACACCACACACACCACACACCACACACACACACCACACACACACACACCACACACACACCACACACACACACACACCACACACCACACACACCACACACACACACACACCACACACACACCACACACACACACACCACACACACCACACACACACCACACACACACCACACACACACACACCACACACACACACCACACACACACACACCACACACACACACCACACACACACCACACACACCACACACACACACCACACACACACACCACACACACACACACACCACACACACCACAACAACAACAACCGCCATTCACCACTAAGTGGCGGTGACGTCACCATGACGCTTGTGCCAGGCCATGTGCACCTTGAGGCCACGTGAAGTGTCGAACGCCCGCTGGCAGGAGGTCACGGGGCAGACCCAGGTGCCACGGGTCGACTGAAATGACTGGCTGATGCACTACCTGTGCCCCCTACTGTGCCAACCCGCTGTGCTTTAGCCACCCGGCGCTCCGCTCGTTGTTGTGAGTGTCGCTCCTCCGCCCTCCGTTGTTGTTGGAGGGCGACTTCCTCCAACTGCCCAGTAGCATCCTTCACGAGCCTCCTCCACAGAGGCCGATCTTGACACCGCTGGTACAAGTCATCAGCAAGTCCTCTCAGCTCCACGTCCTCCTGTACCACATCACTCCATCTCTTCTCTAGCCCGTGCCGCGCCCGTTTAGCCCCCTCGATCCGGCCAAACAAAAGCTGTTTCGCCATGCGGTGGCTGGGCATGCGGGCTACATGACCCAGCCAACGCAGCCTTGCCTGCCGGAGGAGCTCACCGATGGGACCTTGCCCAGATCTTTCAAGGATTTGTGAGCTCCTCACACAATCCAGCCTGGTTAAACCCAGGATAGATCGTAGGTAGGCTAGCCTAAATGTTTCTAACCGGCGAAAATGTTCCATTAGGGGGGTCCACGTTTCGCAAGCGTAGAGAAGGGAGGGAAATGACCGTGGCCGAGAAGACCTGAAGCTTAGTGCGGAGCGACAGACCAGGTAGCTTCCACACAGCGTTACGCAACCGATGAAAAGATATTGCCGCTCGACTGATTTGGAGTGTGGCCTCTGCTGTTAAACTGGAGCCGGTCAAAAGCACACTGCCCAGGTATGGGAAACTCTCCACTCTCTCCACAACTGCCCCATCACCGATTGGGAGTTGTGGGGATGGAGTGTCCGATGGTACAAAATACCCAGGCAGGTGCTTAGTTTTGGTGGGGCTGATAGTAAGTCCCCATCTCTTAGTGGCACCTCCAGTCTCAGCAGCAGCGTCTCCAACTCCTCCTCTGAATGAGCAGCTATTACCAAATCATCAGCATACATAACGTGGTTGAGCAATAGGGAGCCATCCCTTGACCGCACCCGGGCATCGATCAGCCTCCCATAATATCTGTACCAAATCGAGATTCCCCCGGTACAGCTATTGAAGGCTTCACGAACTACGTGGTCAAAATTTATGTTAAATAATGTGGGAGCCAGAGGAAATCCCTGTCGCACTCCAAGGTGTACAGGGAATGGCTCCGACTCCCGGCCACGTAGTTTTACCCGGGCCCGCTCACCATCATGAAGGTCCTTAATGATCATGAGCAGAGGGTCAGGGACTCCAAAAGCACGAAGAACAACCCAGTGCCCAGGCCTACTGATGGTATCATAGGCCTTGACCAGGTCAATAAAGCAGAGATGTAGGTCTTGCAGGAATTCCCTACACCTCTGCTGTAGCAGACAGACAGAAAATATGGCATCTGTGCAGGACTGTTTTTTTCCTGAAACCGCATTGGGGATCCGCAAGCCTCTTTTTAGCGTACCTGGCAAGGCGATGCTGAATAATCCTTGCCAGGACCTTTCCCGGCACACTGACGAGTGAGATGCCCCTGTAGTTGTTACAGTCTGTGCGGTCCCCCTTCTTAAAGAGTGGGGCCACCAGGGCATCCTTCCAATCCTGTGGAACCCGTCCAGCGGTCCAGACTGTTGTTATCATGTCATATAGGGCAGTTTGTGCACAAAGGCCACCCTCCCTCAGCATTTCGCTTGGGAGATCATCTCTGCCCGGTGCCTTTCCTGGTTTCACACTCCGGATCGCCCTCAGTACTTCCTCAACAGATGGCACCTCAACCAGCCACTCACAGGGGGTGACTTCCTACAATATTTGAGGCACCGCAGCCTCAGCAGGGTCATCCCCATTTTGTGCCATGATGTTTTCCTGGCTGAGGGATTTACCCTCCCCCAGGACCTCACAGAAATGCTCAGCAAATCTGCAAACCTGTTCCTGGGGGTCGGAGATTGGATCACCGTATTTTCCCCTAATGATGGTAATACGTTGTGGCGCTGCAAGTTACTTTTTTGATGGCGTTAAATAGAGATTTGTGATCGCGGGCCACTGAGGCAGACTCCATCTCCTCAGCAACCCGCGACCACCACCCATCCTTGCAGCGCCTCACGGCTCTCCGAACCTCCGAGCGAAGGCTGCGGTAAGCCTCCTCATTCTCTGACGTGGGATTCTGTAGCCGATGACATTGGGCGTGTGGCTTTTCTTCAACCATCCTGAACACCTCCTCTTTCAGCCAGGGTCTCTGGGGAGGTCTGGACCGCATACCCAAAGCAGCCATTGCAGCTGCATGAGTCACAGTCCTAAACCTCGCCCATTTACCCTCGACATCAGGAGGAGTGGGGGACGATGCCAACCCCAGCCGCAAGCGATGATGAAATTCTCGCTTGCAACTTTCATCAGATAACTGAGACCAGGCCATTTTAGGTTGGAATGGGGTCATGGGAGTACACCCACCACCGGAGTGGAAGAATGGCAGGTGCATCTTACAGATGACTAGTCGATGGTCAGAGGGCAGATCAGCTCCACGGTAGGTCCTGGTGTCAAGGACATGGGCTCGCATCCGCTGGTCTGTCACTATGTAGTCCAGCAGATGTTCTTGCTTGGACCCGGCATGCATCCATGATGTTGTGTGGATGCGCCGATGCCGGAACAGCATGTTGGTAATTACAAGCCCATGGGCTGTAAAAAATCTAGCAGCCTCCTACCGTTGCAATTGAGCTGATCTGGCCCATGCCCTCCAATAACTCCAGACCAGGTGCCAGCATCATGACCAACTCGGGCAATGAAGTCACCCAACAAGATGACTCTATTCCGAGGGGCCACTTTAGCCAGCACCTGTGACAGGAGGTCATAGAAGGCATCTGACTCATCGCCTTTGCCTGCATCCCTCCACGGATGTTCGTCTTCGGTGGGGGTAAAAGTAACCACGACCACCACTCCTCGCCTCCGGTTGATGTGAAGGCGAGCCCAAAGTAGCCTGGGGCTTACAGCTTCCCACACCTCACCGCCACGCTCCCACGCCCCCTTCATTCTTTTGTTTAAAAGAAGAGCCACAGCCTGTTGTTTGGCAGTCTGCTGCCCCGAGTAGAGGACTGTCCACCCCTCATGGTGGCAGGAGCCAGAACCGGTCCACCGGACCTCCTGAATGCCACAGAGATCCAGGCGGTACCGGTCCAGCTCCCGACAGAGGAGTGGCAGCTTCTCCTCCGCAGTGAGCGTTCGAACATTCCACGTGGCCACACGAATTGGCTTTTTGTTGTTTCTGGAGGAGCCCCGAGGTTAGAGATTCAATCTCATGGCTCCGCCAATTGTGGTTTGGCCAGGAGACGTCATAGACGCCTGTCCCCCCGGGGCCTCCGGCACAAGATTATTAGTTAAAAAAAAATGTATTATTCGTGGTTTCGTGGTAAATGTTGAAGGTGGAGGGGTTACCAGCCCCTCACACCCGACCAGAGCCCTCGTTTAGCCACTGTGGTGGTCACAGACGCCATGAGAGGAGGAGCCAATCGGAATTGGCCCTCCCCCCACAGCACTGTCCACGACATAGTTGCCCGTCCGGCACCGCGAGGAGGTAGGGGGTTGTTTTTGCCGGACACACACCACACACACACACCACACACACACCACACACCACACACCACACACACACCACACACACACTACACATACACCACACACCACACACACACCCACACACCACACACACACACACACACCACACACACACCACACACCACACACACCACACACACACCACACACACCACACACACACCACACACACACCACACACACACCACACACACCACACACACCACACACACACCACACACACACCACACACACCACACACACCACACACACACACTACACACACACCACACACCACACACACACACCACACACACCACACACACCACACACACACCACACACACACCACACACCACACACACCACACACCACACACACCACACACACACACCACACACACCACACACACCACACACACACTACACACACACCACACACCACACACACACACCACACACACCACACACACCACACACACCACACACACCACACAACACACACACACCACACACACACCACACACACACCACACACACACCACACACCACACACACACCACACAAACACCACACACACCACACACACACCACACACACGCCACACACACCACACACACACCACACACACACCACACACACACACCACACACACACACACCACACACACATCACACACACACACACTACACACACCACACACACCACACACACACACGCCACACACCACACACACACCACACACACTACACGGGGCTGCACATGTAGTGCCTCATCATCAGATCAGGAGCCATATCTAAGAGATATGGGCCTTCCTTACGAGCGTCGGGCTGTTCACCGGCATTGCGTCTCGCAAGCCTGACTGAATTTAGGTCGGATGTGGACTGTGCGTGGGTGACTCAGTGAGGTGGTCTGTGCGTGGGTGACTCAGTGAGGTGGACTGTGTGTGGGTGACTCAGTGAGGTGGACTGTGTGTGAGTGACTCAGTGAGGTGGACTGTGTGTGGGTGACTCAGGGAGGTGGACTGTGTGTGAGTGACTCAGGGAGGTGGACTGTGTGTGGGTGACTCAGTGAGGTGGACTGTGTGTGAGTGACTCAGTGAGGTGGACTGTGTGTGGGTGACTCAGGGAGGTGGACTGTGTGTGAGTGACTCAGGGAGGTGGACTGTGTGTGAGTGACTCAGTGAGGTGGACTGTGTGTGGGTGACTCAGGGAAGTGGACTGTGTGTGAGTGACTCAGTGAGGTGGACTGTGTGTGGGTGACTCAGGGAGGTGGACTGTGTGTGAGTGACTCAGGGAGGTGGACTGTGTGCGTGTCACTCAGGGAGGTGGACTGTGTATGGGTGACTCAGGGAGGTGGACTGTGTGTGAGTGACTCAGTGAGGTGGACTGTGTGTGAGTGACTCAGTGAGGTGGACTATGTGTGAGTGACTCAGGGAGGTGGACTGTGTGTGGATGACTCATGGAGGTGGACTGTGTGTGGGTGACTAGGGAGGTGGACTGTGTGTGGGTGACTAGGGAGGTGGACTGTGTGTGGGTGACTCAGGGAGGTGGACTGTGTGTGGGTGACTAGGGAGGTGGACTGTGTGTGTGTGACTCAGGGAGGTGGACTGTGTGTGGGTGACTAGGGAGGTGGACTGTGTGTGGGTGACTAGGGAGGTGGACTGTGTGTGTGATTCAGGGAGGTGGACTGTGTGTGGGTGACTCAGGGAGGTCGACTGTGTGTGGGTGACTCAGGGAGGTGGACTGTGTGTGGGTGACTAGGGAGGTGGACTGTGTGTGGGTGACTCAGCGAGGTGGACTGTGTGTAGGTGACTCAGGGAGGTGGACTGTGTGTGGGTGACTAGGGAGGTGGACTGTGTGTGGGTGACTAGGGAGGTGGACTGTGTGTGGGTGACTAGGGAGGTGGACTGTGTGTGGGTGACTAGGGAGGTGGACTGTGTGTGGGTGACTAGGGAGGTGGACTGTGTGTGGGTGGCTAGGGAGGTGGACTGTGTGTGGGTGACTCAGGGAGGTGGACTGTGTGTGGGTGACTAGGGAGGTGGACTGTGTGTGGGTGACTCAGGGAGGTGGACTGTGTGTGAGTCACTCAGGGAGGTGGACTGTGTGTGGGTGACTAGGGAGGTGGACTGTGTGTGGGTGACTAGGGAGGTGGACTGTGTGTGGGTGACTAGGGAGGTGGACTGTGTGTGTGACTCAGTGAGGTGGACTGTGTGTGTGGGTGACTCAGTGAGGTGGACTGTGTGAGTGACTCAGTGAGGTGGACTGTGTGTGGGTGACTCAGGGAGGTGGACTGTGTGTGGGTGACTAGGGAGGTGGACTGTGTGTGACTCAGGGAGGTGGACTGTGTGTGGGTGACTAGGGAGGTGGACTGTGTGTGGGTGACTAGGGAGGTGGACTGTGTGTGGGTGACTAGGGAGGTGGACTGTGTGTGGGTGACTAGGGAGGTGGACTGTGTGTGGGTGACTAGGGAGGTGGACTGTGTGGGTGACTAGGGAGGTGGACTGTGTGTGGGTGACTAGGGAGGTGGACTGTGTGTGAGTCACTCAGGGAGGTGGACTGTGTGTGTGGGTGACTCAGTGAGGTGGACTGTGTGTGGGTGACTAGGGAGGTGGACTGTGTGTGAGTGACTCAGTGAGGTGGACTGTGTGTGTGGGTGACTCAGTGAGGTGGACTGTGTGAGTGACTCAGTGAGGTGGACTGTGTGTGTGTGACTCAGGGAGGTGGACTGTGTGTGTGAGTGACTCAGGGAGGTGGACTGTGTGTGGGTGACTAGGGAGGTGGACTGTGTGTGTGTGACTAGGGAGGTGGACTGTGTGTGGGTGACTCAGTGAGGTGGACTGTGTGTGTGGGTGACTCAGTGAGGTGGGCTGTGTGAGTGACTCAGTGAGGTGGACTGTGTGTGTGTGACTCAGGGAGGTGGACTGTGTGTGGGTGACTCAGGGAGGTGGACTGTGTGTGAGTCACTCAGGGAGGTGGACTGTGTGTGGGTGACTAGGGAGGTGGACTGTGTGTGGGTGACTCAGGGAGGTGGACTGTGTGTGAGTCACTCAGGGAGGTGGACTGTGTGTGGGTGACTAGGGAGGTGGACTGTGTGTGTGTGACTCAGTGAGGTGGACTGTGTGAGTGACTCAGTGAGGTGGACTGTGTGTGGGTGACTCAGGGAGGTGGACTGTGTGTGTGTGACTCAGGGAGGTGGAGTGTGTGTGGGTGACTCAGGGAGGTGGACTGTGTGTGTGGGTGACTCAGTGAGGTGGACTGTGTGAGTGACTCAGTGAGGTGGACTGTGTGTGGGTGACTCAGGGAGGTGGACTGTGTGTGGGTGACTCAGGGAGGTGGACTGTGTGTGGGTGACTCAGGGAGGTGGACTGTGTGTGTGTGACTCAGGGAGGTGGACTGTGTGTGGGTGACTCAGGGAGGTGGACTGTGTGTGGGTGACTAGGGAGGTGGACTGTGTGTGGGTGACTAGGGAGGTGGACTGTGTGTGGGTGACTAGGGAGGTGGACTGTGTGTGGGTGACTAGGGAGGTGGACTGTGTGTGGGTGACTAGGGAGGTGGACTGTGTGTGGGTGACTAGGGAGGTGGACTGTGTGTGGGTGACTAGGGAGGTGGACTGTGTGTGTGACTCAGTGAGGTGGACTGTGTGTGTGGGTGACTCAGTGAGGTGGACTGTGTGTGAGTGACTCAGTGAGGTGGACTGTGTGTGGATGACTCAGGGAGGTGGACTGTGTGTGTATGACTCAGGGAGGTGGACTGTGTGTGAGTGACTCAGTGAGGTGGACTGTGTGTGAGTGACTCAGTGAGGTGGACTGTGTGTGGATGACTCAGGGAGGTGGACTGTGTGTGGGTGACTCAGGGAGGTGGACTGTGTGTGTGGGTGACTATGGAGGTGGACTGTGTGTGGGTGACTCAGGAGGTGGACTGTGTGTGGGTGACTAGGGAGGTGGACTGTGTGTGGGTGACTCAGGGATGTGGACTTTTGTGGGTGACTCAGGGAGGTGGACTGTGTGTGGGTGACTAGGGAGGTGGACTGTGTGTGGGTGACTAGGGAGGTGGACTGTGTGTGGGTGACTAGGGAGGTGGACTGTGTGTGGGTGACTCAGTGAGGTGGACTGTGTGAGTGACTCAGTGAGGTGGACTGTGTGTGTGTGACTCAGGGAGGTGGACTGTGTGTGGGTGACTCAGGGAGGTGGACTGTGTGTGAGTCACTCAGGGAGGTGGACTGTGTGTGGGTGACTAGGGAGGTGGACTGTGTGTGGGTGACTCAGGGAGGTGGACTGTGTGTGGGTGACTAGGGAGGTGGACTGTGTGTGGGTGACTAGGGAGGTGGACTGTGTGTGGGTGACTAGGGAGGTGGACTGTGTGTGGGTGACTAGGGAGGTGGACTGTGTGTGTGATTCAGGGAGGTGGACTGTGTGTGGGTGACTCAGGGAGGTGGACTGTGTGTAGGTGACTCAGGGAGGTGGACTGTGTGTGGGTGACTAGGGAGGTGGACTGTGTGTGGGTGACTAGGGAGGTGGACTGTGTGTGGGTGACTAGGGAGGTGGACTGTGTGTGGGTGACTAGGGAGGTGGACTGTGTGTGGGTGACTAGGGAGGTGGACTGTGTGTGGGTGACTAGGGAGGTGGACTGTGTGTGGGTGACTAGGGAGGTGGACTGTGTGTGGGTGACTAGGGAGGTGGACTGTGTGTGGGTGACTAGGGAGGTGGACTGTGTGTGGGTGACTAGGGAGGTGGACTGTGTGTGGGTGACTAGGGAGGTGGACTGTGTGTGGGTGACTAGGGAGGTGGACTGTGTGTGGGTGACTAGGGAGGTGGACTGGCTGTCCCTGTCTGCGGTGGTGCTGCTGCTGCTGTGCGCCCCTCTGCTGGTCTTTGCGCTGGTGACGGCCTGCGACCAGTTCCAGTGCTCGCTCGCTGAGCCGTTACTCCACCTCTACTCGGGCCGCTCCACCCTCCGAGACATCTGGGCACGCTCGCCCCCCATCACGTCCACCGCTGGTGTTATCTACGTCCTGTGGGTCGCCTTCCAGGTGAGGGTGAGCGAGTGAGCGAGTGGGGGGTGATCACCTGACAAGTGAGGGTGAGTGAGTGAGTGGGGGGTGATCACCTGACAGGTGAGGGTGAGCGAGTGAGTGGGGGGTGATCACCTGACAGGTGAGGGTGAGTGAGTGGGGGGTGATCACCTGACAGGTGAGGGTGAGCGAGTGAGCGAGTGGGGGGTGATCACCTGACAGGTGAGGGTGAGTGAGTGAGTGGGGGGTGATCACCTGACAGGTGAGGGTGAGCAAGTGGGGGGTGATCACCTGTCAGGTGAGGGTGAGCGAGTGAGTGGGGGGTGATCACCTGACAGGTGAGGGTGAGTGAGTGAGTGGGGGGTGATCACCTGACAGGTGAGGGTGAGTGAGTGGGGGGTGATCACCTGACAGGTGAGGGTGAGCGAGTGAGCGAGTGGGGGGTGATCACCTGACAGGTGAGGGTGAGTGAGTGAGTGGGGGGTGATCACCTGACAGGTGAGGGTGAGCAAGTGGGGGGTGATCACCTGACAGGTGAGGGTGAGCGAGTGAGTGGGGGGTGATCACCTGACAGGTGAGGGTGAGTGAGTGAGTGGGGGGGTGATCACCTGACAGGTGAGGGTGAGCGAGTGAGTGGGGGGTGATCACCTGACAGGTGAGGGTGAGCGAGTGGGGGGTGATCACCTGACAGGTGAGGGTGAGCGAGTGGGGGGTGATCACCTGACAGGTGAGGGTGAGCGAGTGAGTGGGGGGTGATCACCTGACAGGTGAGGGTGAGCGAGTGGGGGGTGATCACCTGACAGGTGAGGGTGAGTGAGTGGGGGGTGATCACCTGACAGGTGAGGGTGAGCGAGTGAGTGGGGGGTGATCACCTGACAGGTGAGGGTGAGTGAGTGAGTGGGGGGTGATCACCTGACAGGTGAGGGTGAGCGAGTGAGTGGGGGGTGATCACCTGACAGGTGAGGGTGAGCGAGTGGGGGGTGATCACCTGACAGGTGAGGGTGAGCGAGTGGGGGGTGATCACCTGACAGGTGAGGGTGAGCGAGTGAGTGGGGGGTGATCACCTGACAGGTGAGGGTGAGCGAGTGGGGGGTGATCACCTGACAGGTGAGGGTGAGTGAGTGGGGGGTGATCACCTGACAGGTGAGGGTGAGCGAGTGAGTGGGGGGTGATCACCTGACAGGTGAGGGTGAGTGAGTGAGTGAGCAGGGGGTGCGTGGAACAGATGGAGATTACTCCACACTCTGTGTGTGGAACAGATGGAGATTAGTCCACATTCTGTATGTGGAACAGATGGAGATTAGTCCACACTCTGTGCCTGTGTGTGACCACGTGTGACCTTTGTGTGACCACGTGTGACCTTGTGTGATCTTGTGTGACCTTGTGTGACCTTGTGTGACCTTGTGTGACCGCGTGTGACCACGTGTGCCCGCGTGTGACCACGTGTGATCTTGTGTGACCACGTGCGACCACGTGTGACCACGTGTCACCACGTGTGACCGCGTGTCACCACGTGTGACCGCGTGTGACCGCGTGTGACCACGTGTGACCACGTGTGATCTTGTGTGACCACGTGCGACCACGTGTGACCACGTGTCACCACGTGTCACCACGTGTCACCGCGTGTGACCACGTGTCACCACGTGTCACCACTTGTGACCACGTGTCACCACGTGTGACCACGTGTCACCACGTGTCACCGCGTGTGACCGCGTGTGACCACGTGTTCCGGCGTGCCTGCCAGGCGTTCCTCTACCGCTGCCTGCCTGATGTTTGCCACAAGATGATCCCCGGCTACGCGGGCGGGGTCCAGGAGGGGGCGCGCACACCCGCAGGTCGCCGCACGGCGCCACGCCGCTCACGACGACGACGACAAAAACAAACAACAACAATAACGACAAACATGGCGACAGATAACACAACAACAACAACAAACATGGCGACAGATAACACAACAACAATAACGACAAACATGGCGACAGATAACACAACAACAATAACGACAAACATGGTGACAGATAACACAACAACAACAACAACAAACATGGCGACAGATAACACAACAACAATAACGACAAACATGGCGACAGATAACACAACAACAATAACGACAAACATGGCGACAGATAACACAACAACAACAACGACAAACATGGCGACAGATAACACAACAACAACAAACATGGCGACAGATAACACAACAACAAACAACAGATAACACAACAACAATAACGACAAACATGGCGACAGATAACACAACAACAACAACAACGACAAACATGGCGACAGATATCACAACAACAATAACGACAAACATGGCGACAGATAACACAACAACAACAAACAACAGATAACACAACAACAATAACGACAAACATGGCGACAGATAACACAACAACAATAACGACAAACATGGCGACAGATAACACAACAACAACAAACAACAGATAACACAACAACAACAAACAACAGATAACACAACAACAATAACGACAAACATGGCGACAGATAACACAACAACAATAACGACAAACATGGCGACAGATAACACAACAACAACAAAGAATGCAACAAACAACAACAACAAACAACAACCACCAGTGAATGCACAAACTAAATCCTCACATCGCACTGCACCAACTGCACACTCACTCACGCACCCACACTCACTCACACACACTCACACTCATTCACACTCACCCACACACTCACCCACACACACACTCACACTCATTCACACTCACCCACACACTCACCCACACACTCACCCACACACACTCACACTCACTCACACTCACCCACACGCTCACCCACACTCACCCACACGCTCACCCACACGCTCACCCACACTCACCCACGCACACACACTCACACTCACTCACACTCACCCACACACTCACCCACACACCCACACACACTCACACTGACTCACACTCACCCACACGCTCACCCACACTCACCCACACTCACTCACACACACTCACACTCATTCACACTCACCCACACACTCACCCACACACTCACCCACACTCTCACCCACACACTCACCCACACACTCACTCACACACACTCACTCACACTCACCCACACACTCACACTCACCCACACACTCACCCACACACTCACCCACACACACTCACACTCACTCACCCACACACTCACCCACACACTCACCCACACACACTCACACTCACTCACACTCACCCACACACTCACCCACACTCACCCACGCACACACACTCACCCACACACTCACCCACACACTCACCCACACACTCACCCACACTCACCCACACACTCACCCACTCACTCACCCACACTCACCCATACACTCACCCACACACTCACACTCATTCACACTCACCCACACACTCACCCACACACTCACCCACACTCACCCACACACTCACGCACACTCACCCACACACTCACCCACACACTCACCCACACACTCACCCACGCACACACACTCACACTCACTCACACTCACCCACACACTCACCCACACACCCACACACACTCACACTGACTCACACTCACCCACACGCTCACCCACACTCACCCACACTCACTCACACACACTCACACTCATTCACACTCACCCACACACTCACCCACACACTCACCCACACTCTCACCCACACACTCACCCACACACTCACTCACACACACTCACTCACACTCACCCACACACTCACACTCACCCACACACTCACCCACACACTCACCCACACACACTCACACTCACTCACCCACACACTCACCCACACACTCACCCACACACACTCACACTCACTCACACTCACCCACACACTCACCCACACTCTCACCCACGCACACACACTCACACTCACCCACGCACACACACTCAATCACACTCACCCACACACTCACCCACACACTCACCCACACACACTCACACTCACTCACCCACACGCTCACCCACACTCACCCACGCACACACACTCACACTCATTCACACTCACCCACACACTCACCCACACTCACCCACACACTCACGCACACTCACCCACACACTCACCCACACACTCACCCACACACTCACCCACGCACACACACTCACACTCACTCACACTCACCAACACGCTCACCCACACTCACCCACACACTCACCCACACACTCACCCACACACTCACCCACACTCACCCACGCACACACACTCACCCACACACTCACCCACACACTCACCCACACACTCACCCACACTCACCCACACACTCACCCACTCACTCACCCACACTCACCCATACACTCACCCACACACTCACACTCATTCACACTCACCTTCACACTCACCCACACACTCACCCACACACTCACCCACACTCACCCACACACTCACGCACACTCACCCACACACTCACCCACACACTCACCCACACACTCACCCACGCACACACACTCACACTCACTCACACTCACCCACACGCTCACCCACACTCACCCACACACTCACCCACACACTCACCCACACACTCACCCACACTCACCCACGCACACACACTCACCCACACACTCACCCACACACTCACCCACACACTCACCCACACTCACCCACACACTCACTCACCCACTCACTCACCCACACTCACCCATACACTCACCCACACACTCACACTCATTCACACTCACCCACACACTCACCCACACACTCACACTCACGCACTCACCCACACAACAACCGCCATTCGCCACTGAGTGGCGGTGACGTCACCAGGACGCTTGTGCCAGGCCATGTGCACCTTGAGGCCATGTGAAGTGTCGAACGCCCGCTGGCAGGAGGTCACGGGGCAGACCCAGGTGCCACGGGTCGACTGAGATGACTGGCTGATGCACCACCTGTGCCCCCTACTGTGCCAACCTGCTGTGCTTTAGCCACTCGGCGCTCCGCTCGTTGTTGTGAGTGTCGCTCCTCCGCCCTCCGTTGTTGTTGGAGGGCGACTGCCTCCAACTGCCCAGTAGCGTCCTTCACGAGCCTCCTCCACAGAGGCCAATCTTGACACCGCTGGTACCAGTCTGGTACCAGACTGGTACCAGTCATCGGCAAATCCACTCAGCTCCACGTCCTCCTGTGCCACATCACTACATCTATTCTCTAGCCCGTGCCGCGCCCGTTTAGCCCCCTCGATCTAGCCGAACAAAAGCTGTTTCGGCATGCGGTGGCTGGGCATGCGGGCTACATGACCCAGCCAATGCAGCCTTGCCTGCTGGAGGAGCTCACCGATGGGACCTTGCCCAGATCTTTCAAGGATTTGTGAGCTCCTCACACAATCCAGCCTGGTCAAACCCAAGATGGATCGTAGGCAGGCCAGCCTAAATGTTTCTAACCGGCGAAGATGTTCCGTTAGGGGGGTCCACGTTTCGCAAGCATAGAGAAGGGAGGGAATGGCCGTGGCCGAGAAGACCTGAAGCTTAGTGCAGAGCGACAGACCAGGTAGTTTCCACACAGCGTTACGCTACCGATGAAAAGATATTGCCGCTCGACTGATTCGGAGTGAGACCTCTGCTGTTAAACTGGAGCCGGTCATAAGCACACTGCCTAGGTATGGGAAACTCTCCACTCTCTCCACAACTGCCCCATCACTGATTGGGAGTTGTGGGGGTGGAGTGTCCGATTGTACAAAGTACCCAGGCAGGTGCTTAGTTTTGGTGGGGCTGATGGTAAGGCCCCATCTCTTAGTGGCACACTCCAGTCTCAGCAGCAGCATCTCCAACTCCTCCTCTGAATGAGCAGCTATTACCAAATCATCGGCATACATAACGTGGTTGAGCAATAGGGAGCCATCCCTTGACGGCACCCGGGCATCGATCAGCCTCCCATTATATCTGTACCATATGGAAGATTCCCCCGGTACAGCTATTGATGGCTTCACGAACTACGTGGTCAAAATAGATGTTAAATAATGTGGGAGCCAGAGAACATCCCTGTCGCACCCCAAGGTGTACAGGGAATGGCTCTGACTCCCGGCCACTTAGTTTTACCCGGGCCCGCTCACCATCATGAAGGTCCTTAATGATCGTGAGCAGAGGTTCAGGGACTCCGAAAGCACAAACAACCCAGAGCCCAGGCCTACTGATGGTATCATAGGCCTTGACCAGGTCAATAAAGCAGAGATGTAGGTCTTGCTGGAATTTCCTACACCTCTGCTGTAGCAGACACACTCACCCACACTCACCCACACTCACCCACACTCACTTACACTCACCCACACTCACTCACACTCACCCACACTTACCTACATTCACTCACACTCACCCACTCTCACCCAAACTCACTCACCCACACTCACCCACACTCACTCGCACTCACCCACACCCACCCACACTCACTCACACTCACCCACACACACTCTCACTCACTCACTCACTGTCACGCTCACTCACTCACTGTCACACTCACTCACTGTCACACTCACTCACTCACTGTCACACTCACTCACACTCACTCACTGTCACACACTCACTGTCACACACTCACTCACACTCACTCACTGTCACACACTCACTCTCACACACTCACTGTCACACACTCTCACTCACTCACACTCACTCACTGTCACTCACTCACTGTCACTCACTCACTGTCACTCACTTACTGTCACACTCACTGTCACACACTCACTCACACTCACTCACACTCACCCACTCACTGTCACACTCACTCACTGTCACACTCACTCACACTCACTGTCACACACTCACCGTCACACTCACTCACTCACTGTAACACACTCACTCACACTCACTCACTGTCACACACTCACTCACACTCACTCACTGTCACTCACTGACTGTCACACTCACTCACTGTCACACACTCACTCACTGCCACACTCACTCACTGTCACACTCACTCACTCACTGTCACACACTCACTGTCACTCACTCACTCACTGTCACACACTCACTGTCACTCACTCACTCTCACTCACTGTCAAACACTCACTGTCACACTTACTGTCACTCACTCACTGTCACACTCACTCACTGTCACACTCACTCACTCACTGTCACACTCACTGTCACACTCACTGTCACACACTCACTCACTGTCACACACTCACTCACTGTCACACACTCACTGTCACACACTCACACTCACTCACTCACTGTCACTCACTGTCACTCACTCACTGTCACACACTCACTCATTGTCACACACACTCACTGTCACACTCACTCACACTCACTCACTCACTGTCACACACTCACTGTCACACTCACTGTCACACACTCACTGTCACACTCACTCACACTCACTCACTCACTGTCACACACTCACTGTCACATTCACTCACTCACTGTCACACTCACTCACTGTCACACACTCACTGTCACACTCACTGTCACACTCACTGGCACACACTCACTCACTGTCACACTCACTCACTGTCACACTCACTCACTGTCACACTCACTGTCACACTCACTCACACTCACTCACTGTCACTCACTCACTGTTACACTCACTCACTGTCACACTCACTGTCACTCACTGTCACACACTCACTGTCACACACTCACTGTCACACACTCACTGTCACACACTCACTGTCACACTCACTGTCACACTCACTGTCACACTCACTCACTGTCACACTCACTGTCACACTCACTCACTGTCACACTCACTCACTGTCACACTCACTGTCACACTCACTCACTGTCACACTCTCACTGTCAGACACTCACTCACTGTCACACTCACTCACTGTCACACACACCCACTGTCACACTCACTCACTGTCACTCACTCACTGTCACACTCACTGTCACACTCACTGTCACACTCACTGGCACACTCACTCACACTCACTGTCACTCACTCACTGTCACACTCACTCACTATCACTCACTCACTGTCACACACACCCACTGTCACTCACTCACTGTCACACACTCACTCACTGTCACACACTCACTCACTGTCACACTCACTGACTGTCACACACACTCACTGTCACACTCACTCACTCACTGTCACACACTCACTCACTGTCACACTCACTCACTGTCACACTCACTCGCTGTCACACACACTCACTGTCACACTCACTCACTGTCACACTCACTCACTGTCACACTCACTCACTGTCACACACTCACTCACTGTCACACTCACTGTCACACACACTCACTGTCACACACACTCACTGTCACACTCACTCACACTCACCATGAGAACACCCAGACTCCACACATGCTCCTGAGTCAGGATTCGAACCCAGGCTCTTCTCGCCGCAAGGCCCTAGTCTCACCACTCTGCCACCATCCTGCCGCCCTGATCCACTCTCATCACCATCACCATCATCACCGTGGTCACCACCACCATCACCACCACCACCACTACCACCATCACCGTGGTCACCACCACCATCACCACCTCCACCATCATCACCACCACCACTACCACCATCACCGTGGTCACCATCATCACCACCTCCACCATCATCACCACTACCACCATCACCGTGGTCACCACCACCATCACCGTGGTCACCACCATCACCACCTCCACCATCATCACCGTGGTCACCACTACCATCACCACCACCATTACCACCATCACGGTGGTCACCACCACCATCACCACCTCCACCATCATCACCGTGGTCACCAACTCCACCATCACCACCACTACCACCATCACCGTGGTCACCACTATCACCACCATCACCACCACTACCACCATCACCGTGGTCACCACCTCCACCATCACCACCACCACCACTACCACCATCACCGTGGTCACCACCATCACCACCATCATCACCGTGGTCACCAACTCCACCATAATCACCACTACCACCATCACCGTGGTCATCACCACCTCCACCATCATCACCGTGGTCACCAACTCCACCATCACGACCACCACCACTACCACCATCACCGTGGTCACCACCACCATCACCACCTCCACCATCATCACCACCACCACTACCACCATCACCGTGGTCACCACCACCATCACCGTAGTCACCACCACCATCACCACCACTACCACCATCACCGTGGTCACCACCACCATCACCGTGGTCACCACCACCATCACCGTAGTCACCACCACCATCACCGTAGTCACCACCACCATCACCACCACCACTACCACCATCACCGTGGTCACCACCACCATCACCGTGGTCACTACCACCATCACCGTAGTCACCACCACCATCACCACCTCCACCATCATCACCACCACCACTACCACCATCACCGTAGTCACCACCACCACCACCACCATCCCTGTGGTGATGGGTGTCTGCTGCTCCCGCCGTGGTGCAGGTGCGGTGGTGCTGTACCAGGTGAACGGCCTGCAGGCCTGGCTGCTGACCCACCTGCTGTGGGCTGCCAACGCGAGCTACTTCCACTTCTTCTCTCCCACCATCGTCTTCGACCACTGGGGGTCGCTGCTGTGGTGCGCCAACCTCCTGGGGTACGGCGTCTCGGCCTTCGCCATGCTCAAGGCCTACGCCTTCCCTAGCAACGCCGCGGACTGGTGAGTCGCTGGCTCGGTGAGTCGCTACGTCACCACTCCTCACAGAGACCCATTGACTCACAGAGACCCATTGACTCACACAGAGATCCACAGACTCACACAGAGACCCACAGACTCACACAGACACATAGATTCACACAGAGACCCACAGACTCACACAGAGACACGTAGACTCACACAGAGACCCACAGACTCACACAGAGACACGTAGACTCACACAGAGACCCATAGACTCACACAGAGACCCATAGACTCATACAGAGACCCATAGACTCACACAGAGACTCGTAGACTCACACAGAGACCCACAGACTCACACAGAGACCCATAGACTCACACAGAGACTCGTAGACTCACACAGAGACTCATAGACTCACACAGAGACCCACAGACTCACACAGAGACCCGTAGACTCACACAGAGACCCACAGACTCACACAGACCCATAGATATACACAGAGACCCATAGACTCACACAGAGACCCACAGACTCACACAGAGATCCATAGACTCACACAGAGACCCACAGACTCACACAGAGACCCGTAGACTCACACAGAGACCCGTAGACTCACACAGAGACCCATAGACTCACACAGAGACCCATAGACTCACACAGAGACCCATAGATTCACACAGAGATCCATAGATTCACACAGAGATCCATAAACTCACACAGAGACCCATAGACTCACACAGAGACCCATAGATTCACACAGAGACCCATAGATTCAGACAGAGACCCATACACTCACACAGAGACCACACAGAGACCCGTAGACTCACACAGAGACCCATAGACTCACACAGAGACCCATATACTCACAGAGACCCATTGACTCACACAGAGTTCCACGGACTCACAGAGAGACCCACAGACTCAAACAAACCCATAGACTCACACAGAGACCCGTAGACTCACACAGAGATCCATAGACTCACACAGAGACATGTAGACTCACACAGAGATCCATAGACTCACACAGAGATCCATAGACTCACACAGAGACCCACAGACTCACACAGAGACCCATAGATTCACACAGAGATCCATAGATTCACACAGAGACCCATAGACTAACAGAGACCCATACACTCACACAGAGACCCATAGATTCACACAGAGACCCATAGATTCACACAGAGACCCATAGACTCACACAGAGACACACAAGCTCACACAGAGACCCATAGACTCACACAGAGACCCACAGACTCACACAGAGACCCATAGACTCACACAGAGACCCATAGACTCACACTAGGACCCGCAGACTCACACAGAGACCCATAGACTCACACAGAGACACATAGACTCACACCGAGACCCGTAGACTCACACAAAGAAACAGACTCACACAGAGACCCATAGACTCACACAGAGACCCATAGACTCACACAGAGACCCATAGACTCACACTGAGACGCATAGACTCACACAGAAACACATAGGCTCACACAGAGACCCATAGACTCTCACAGAGAGCCATAGACTCACACAGAGACCTATAGACTGACACAGAGACCCGTAGACTCACACAGAGACCCGTAGACTCGCACAGAGACCCATAGATTCACACAGAGACACACAGGCTCACACAGAGACCCATAGACTCACACAGAGACCCACAGACTCACACAGAGTCCCACAGACTCACACAGAGACCCACAGACTCACACCGAGACCCGTAGACTCACACAGAGACCCATAGACTCACACAGAGACACATCGACTCACACCGAGACCCGTAGACTCACACAGAGACCCATAGACTCACACAGAGACACATAGATTCACACAGAGACCCGTAGACTCACACAAAGACACATAGATTCACATAAAGACTCGTAGACTCACACAGAGATCCACAGACTCACAGATCCTCGCTCGGTTGTTTGTGTTGTTGTTTGTGTTGTTGTCCATTGGTTGTGTAATTGTCCATGTTGTTGTTAATGTTGTTGTTGTCGTTGTTGTTTCCCGCTGGCAGCAAGTTCACGGGCAACGTGTTCTACGACTTCATGATGGGCATCGAGTTGAACCCTCGCATCGGCCGCTGGTTCGACCTCAAGCTCTTCTTCAACGGTCGCCCGGGCATCGTGGCCTGGACGCTCATCAACCTCTCGTTTGCTGCTAAGCAGCAGCAGTTGCACGGACACGTCACCAACTCCATGGTGCTCGTGAACGTGCTGCAGGTAGGGACACGTGGGGAGACACACGGGGAGACACGTGGGGAGACACGCGGGGAGACACGTGGGGTGACACGTGGGGTGAGACGCGGGGTGACACGCTGTGAGACACGCTGTGAGACACGCGGGGAGACACGTGGGGTGACACACGGGGTGACACGCGGGGAGACACGTGGGGAGACACGCGGGGTGACACGTGGGGTGAGACGCGGGGAGACACGCGGGGTGACACGTGGGGAGACACGCGGGGAGACACGCGGGGTGACACGCGGGGAGACACGCGGGGTGACAGGTGGGGTGGCACGCGGGGTGACACGTGGGGTGACACGTGGGGAGACACGCGGGGAGACACGCGGGGTTACACGTGGGGAGACACGCGGGGTGACACGTGGGGTGACACGTGGGGTGACACGTGCGGTGACACGTGGGGTAACACGCGGGGTGACACGTGTGTGGTGTACATTGCTGTGCATTGCACTACTGTCATGTTTGTGTGTATTGTGTTGTTGCTGATACGTTCTGACCCCGTGCCCCTACTGGACGTCTGTGACAAAGAGCTTTGTAGCTTATCGGATTCCTCCTCCTGCAGTCTACATAAATATTCTGATTCTGAAATAAACAGCAGCAGCAGGCATCGTCAGGGTCGAGATCGAACCCACGACCTCTTGTGTGCCAGGTGAGGTAGTGAGGGAAACAAGTATTTGATCCCCTGCTGATTTTGTACGTTTGCCCACTCGCAAAGAAATGATCAGGCTATAATTTTAATGGTTGGTTTATTTGAACAGTGAGAGACAGAATAACAACAACAAAATCCAGAAAAACGCATGTCAGAAATGTTATAAATTGATTGGCATTTTAATGAGGGGAATAAGTATTTGACCCCTCTGTAAAACATGACTTAGTACTTGGTGGCAAAACCCTCGTTGGCAATCACAGAGGTCAGACGTTTCTTGTAGTTTAAATGCAAATCAATTTATAACATTTTTGACATGCGTTTTTCTGGATTTTTTTTTGTTGTTATTCTGTCTCTCACTGTTCAAATAAACCTACCATTAAAATTATAGACTGACCATTTCTTTGTCAGTGGGCAAACATACAAAATCAGCAGGGGATCAAATACTTTTTTCCCTCACTCTATGTAGTAGTGTATAGTGTATTGTTTAGTAGATTTGAAGCTTTCGTGACTGCAAGGATCCATACTCTATGGTTCTATTCGGTAAAGTCGCGTAGGTACAAAAAATAAAACAACAAAAATCACGACGTTTCGGCCACAACACAAGTAGCCTTCTTCAGGTGAAGGAACAGAACTGTCGGGACGACAGCGCTTCAGTGACCGCTGCTAAGATGCGCAGCGTTTTTTAAGCTCGGTGGGCGGAGCAGGGCGCCTTGACAAAGGAGTTTACGTAAAGATATGCTGGCCTTAAACAGAATCTGTTTCGAATTCGGTGAGGATACAGCAGCAGAAGTGAGTGTGAAGGCGATGGGTATTACCTTGTCGCGACATCCTTTGAGGAAGGTCAGCGTCTCGATGAGCTGTGACTTCTTGTCCCGTTGTCTGTTGAAAGCTCTCACAGATAGGTGAAAGCCCTCCCCGCAGAGGTTATCAATTCTAGATTTGAAGATTTCGTGACTGCAAGGATCCATACCTACGTGACTTTACCGAATAGAACCAAAGAGTATGCATCCTTGCAGTCACGAAAGCTTTAAATCTACTAAACACTAAACTATACACTACTACATAGAGTGAGGGAGAAAAGTATTTGATCCCCTGCTGTATTTGTAGTAGTATATAGTGTAGTGTATAGTAGTATGTATATAGTAGTGTATAGTGTATTGTATAGTAGTCTGTATATAGTAGTGTATAGTGTAGTATATAGTAGTTTGTATACAGTAGTATAGTAGTGTATAGTGGAGTGTATAGTAGTTTAGTATATAGTAGTGTAGTGGTGTATAGTGTAGTGTATAGTAGTTTGTATATAGTAGTCTAGTGGTGTACAGTGTAGTGTATAGTAGTTTAGTATATAGTAGTGTATAGTGTAGTGTATAGTAGTTTAGTATATAGTAGTGTAGTAGTGAATAGTGTAGTGTATAGTAGTTTGTATATAGTAGTGTATAGTAGTTTAGTATATAGTAGTGTATAGTGTAGTGTATAGTAGTTTAGTATATAGTAGTTTAGTATATAGTAGTGTATAGTGTAGCGTATAGTAGTTTGTATGTAGTAGTGTATAGTGTAGTGTATAGTAGTTTGTATATAGTAGTATAGTAGTGTATAGTGTAGTGTATAGTAGTTAGTATATAGTAGTGTAGTAGTGTATAGTGTAGTGTATAGTAGTTTAGTATAAAGTAGTGTAGTAGTGAATAGTGTAGTGTATAGTAGTTTGTATGTAGTAGTGTATAGTGTAGTGTATAGAAGTTTAGTATATAGTAGTGTAGTAGTGTATAGTGTAGCGTATAGTAGTTTAGTATATAGTAGTATTGTAGTGTCTAGTTGTTTGTATATAGTATATAGTAGTGTATAGTGTAGTGTATAGTAGTTTGTATATAGTAGTGTATAGTGTAGTGTATAGTAGTTTGTATATAGTATATAGTAGTGTATAGTGTAGTGTATAGTAGTTTGTATATAGTATATAGAGGTGTATAGTGTAGTGTATAGTAGTTTGTATGTAGTAGTATAGTAGTGTATAGTGTAGTGTATAGTAGTTTGTATATAGTAGTGTAGTAGTGTATAGTGTAGTGTATAGTAGTTTGTATATAGTAGTGTAGTAGTGTATAGTGTAGTGTATAGTAGTTTAGTAGTGTATAGTGTAGTGTATAGTAGGTTAGTATATAGTAGTGTATATCGTGTAGTGTATAGTAGTTTAGTATGTAGTAGTGTAGTAGTGTATAGTAGTTTAGTATATAGTAGTATAGTAGTGTATAGTGTAGTGTATAGTAGTTTGTATATAGTAGTGTAGTAGTGTATAGTGTAGTGTATAGTAGGTTAGTATATAGTAGTGTAGTAGTATATATAGTGTAGTGTATAGTAGTTTGTATATATTAGTGTAGTAGTGTATAGTGTAGTGTATCGTAGGTTAGTATATAGTAGTGTAGTAGTATATATAGTGTAGTGTATAGTAGTTTAGTATGTAGTAGTGTAGTGTATAGTAGTTTAGTATATAGTAGTGTAGTGTATAGTGTCGTGTATATAGAGTAGTGTATAGTGTAGTGTATAGTAGTATATAATGTAGTGTATATAGTGTTGTGTATATAGTGTAGTGTATATAGAGTAGTGTATAGTGTAGTGTATAGTAGTTTAGTATATAGTAGTGTCGTGTATATAGAGTAGTGTATAGTGTAGTGTATATTAGTATATGGTGTAGTGTATATAGTGTAGTGTATATAGAGTAGTGTATAGTATAGTGTATAGTAGTGTTTAGTGTAGTGTATATAGTGTAGTGTATATAGAGTAGTGTATATAGAGTAGTGTATAGTGTAGTGTATAGTGTAGTGTATAGTGTAGCGTAGCCAACCGCGCTAATCGGAGGTACGGGGCGGGAGGACAGCAAACTAAACACTCATAATAAGCCTACGTGTTAAACAATCTCGACACTCAACACATCAACAACAGGCCGCATCTACGGCAGTGAGTAGCGTTGACACGGACTGCCTGGTTTGCTTTTCTCCGCCCAGGCCATTTACGTGCTGGACTTCTTCTGGAACGAAGCGTGGTACCTGAAGACCATAGACATCTGCCACGACCACTTTGGCTGGTACCTGGGCTGGGGTGATTGCGTCTGGCTGCCCTACCTCTACACGCTGCAGGTGCCCAGCCAGCGCTCGCTACGCAGCACGCGCGCTCGGAGCGTCTGCGCGTGCATCCGTCTGTTCGTGCATTCCGTCCGTGCGTCTGTCGGTCTGTCCGTGCTTCCATGCCGTCCGTCCATCTCTCTGTCCGTGTGTCTGTCCGTGTGTCTGTGCGTGTGTCTGTGCGTGAGTCCATCCGTGTGTCTGTGCGTGAGTCCATCCGTGTGTCTGTCCTTGTGTCCGTGCGTCCGTGCGTTCCATCCGTGTGTCTGAACATCTGTCCGTAAGTCCATCCGTGTGTCTGTCCGTGTGTCCGTTCGTGCTTCCATCTGTCTGTTCGTCCCATCCACGTGTCCTTTCGTCTGTCTGTGCATTCGTGCGTTCTGTCCGTGCTTCTATGCATCCGTCTGTCTGTGCATCCAGCCTTGTGTCCGTCCATCTGTCCGTGTGTCCCTGTGTCTGTCCATCCGTGCGGCCATCCGTGCGTCCATGTGTGCGTCTGTCAGGCTAACAGCGACCGTCACGGTCGTTATTCACGGTGGGAAATGAGTAACCCGCTCAGAGCTCGTGAAACGAACCTCGCTCGACTCCACCTGGAATCTGAAGCCACAATGGCAGCATGTAGGCTTAAGCGACCAATCACTGTAGCGGTCGAAGCGTTCGTTCACGACGGGGCAACGCGATTGTCTCTGCCTGCCGCTCGGTGGTGGAGGGCCGTGATCACCGCCCGCCGATGGTCGCCCGAGAGAGGAGCTGGGCGCGATTGTTGGCCGTGCTGGGCTGGTGGGTGGCCTCAGAGGGTTGGCGAATCGCAGCTCAGCAGTCGACGTCACTGGATGTTGAATTGTGGCAGCCTCAGGCAGTGACGACCCCTAACCTCTAACCCCTAACCCCTCACGCCTCACCCCTACCACTTCCACTATCCCTGCGGCTACCCCGATCCCTGCTCCCTTCTGCTAACCCAGCCCGCTATCATATTTTAATAATTGTTTTGCTACTTATTTTTTATTGTTACCAGGTAAGGCCCCAGTGCGCTGTGTAGTTCTTTTACAGCCGCGACCCTGGCTATCACACGCAATGATAGCTCAGCGAAGCAGCTGATCATCGTCGTCATCGTCGCGTGGTAATTCATAGCGAGAGCCGAATCCTCTAAACGAGTCATGTCGATTCTCAATGTGGAGGGGAAAAACTGGAGGACATGGAAAAGAAAAATCCACGTGACCACGGGGAGAGAGAGAGACACAAACTCCAAATATACAGCAGCAGCAGGCTTCAGGGTGGGGATCAAACCCACGACCTCCTGCGTACCAGGCGAGGTAGTTAACATCTCCTAGCCACCGTGGTGATGATGAGAGAGAGACGCAAACTCCAAGTATACAGCAGCAGCAGGCTTCAGGGTGGGGATCAAACCCACGACCTCCTGCGGACCAGGCGAGGTAGTTAACATCTCCTAGCCACCGTGATGATGATGAGAGAGAGACACGCAAACTCCAAGTATACAGCAGCAGCAGGCTTCAGGGTGGGGATCAAACCCACGACCTCCTGCGTACCAGGCGAGGTAGTCAACATCTCCTAGCCACCGTGGTGATGATGAGAGAGAGACGCAAACTCCAAATATATACAGCAGCAGCAGCAGGCTTCAGGGTGGGGATCAAACCCACGACCTCCTGCGTACCAGGCGAGGTAGTCAACATCTCACTACCCCTACTGCCACCTCCTATCCCCCCCCCCAACCCTTCCCGTGCTCCTGCAGGGTCTCTACCTGGTCTACAACCCCGTGCGGCTGTCCACTCCGGCGGCGGTGGGCGTGCTGCTGCTGGGCCTGTCGGGGTACTTTGTGTTCCGAGTGAGCAACCACCAGAAGGACCTCTTCCGGCGCACGGACGGCCGCTGCCTCATCTGGGGGTCCGCCCCGCGCTCCGTCGAGTGCTCCTACGCCTCCGCCGATGGGCGGCGCCACCGCAGCCGCCTGCTGGCGTCGGGCTTCTGGGGGCTGGCGCGTCACTTCAACTACACGGGCGACCTGATGGGGGCGCTGGCGTACTGCCTGGCGTGCGGCGGGGGCCACGCGCTGCCGTACTTCTACGCCGCCTACCTCGGGGTGCTGCTCGTGCACCGCTGCGTGCGCGACGAGCACCGCTGCTCGGCCAAGTACGGCGCCGACTGGCGGCGCTACACGGACGCCGTGCCCTACCGCATGGTGCCGTACATCTTCTAGAGTCGCCACCGGAGGGCCGTGCCGCACGATGCCTCTGCTGGAGTCACGCCGCTGTGTGCCGTACCTCTTGGAGACTCGCGGTGCTCAGCCTCTTCTCGGGCTGTCGTGGTGGTGGCGGTGGTGGCTGTGGCGGTGATGGTGGTGGCGGCGGTGGCGGTGGTGGCGGTGGTGGCGGCGGTGGCTGTGGCGGTGATGGTGGTGGCGGTGGTGGCGGTGGTGGCGGTGGTGGTGGTGGCGGTGGTGGTGGCGGTGGTGGCGGTGGCGGTGGTGGTGGCGGTGGTGGCGGTGGCGGTGCTGGCGGTGCTGGCGGTGCTGGCGGTGGTGGTGGTGGTGCTGGTGGTGGCGGCGGTGGTGGTGGTGGCGGTGGTGGCACTGGCGGTGGTGGTGGTGGTGGTGCTGGTGGTGGTGGTGTTGGTGGTGGCGGTGGTGGTGGTGGGGGGATGGTGCCGCCTCGTGGTGAGAAGTGGCACGAGTTTGATTCCGGACCCGGTGCCGGCTTTCTGTCTGGAGTTTGTGTCCACCCCCACCCCCTCGTGCTCTCCCCTGTTCTGTGGAGTGAGTGTCAGTGAGTGAGTGTGGGTGTGAGTGAGTGAGTGTGAGTGAGTAGATGTGAGTGAGTGAGTGGGTGTGGGTGTGAGTGAGTGGGTGTGAGTAAGTGTGGGTGTAAGTGAGTGGGTGTGAGTGAGTGTGGGTGGAGTGAGTGGGTGTGAGTGAGTGTGGGTGTGAGTGAGTGTGGGTGTGAGTCAGTGGGTGTGAGTGAGTGTGGGTGGGTGTGAGTGAGTGTGGGTGTGAGTGTGGGTGTGAGTGGGTGTGTGGGTGTGAGTGGGTGTGGGTGTGAGTGTGAGTGAGTGTGGGTGTGAGTGAGTGTGGGTGGGTGTGAGTGAGTGTGAGTGTGGGTGGGTGTGAGTGAGTGTGGGTGTGAGTGAGTGTGGGTGTGAGTGAGTGGGTGTGAGTGAGTGGGTGTGAGTGAGTGGGTGTGAGTGAGTGGGTGTATGTGTGTGATTGAATGAGCCAGTTAAATTCAAGCTGGCCCTGCCTACGATCCATCCTGGGTTTAACCTGCAGGCTGGATTGTGTGAGAAGCTTATAGATCTGGACAAAGTCCCATCGGTGAGCTCCTCTGGCAGGCGAGGCTGCGTTTGCTGGGTCGTGTAGCCTGAATACCCAGACATCACATGCCCAAGCAGCTTGCCGATGACTGGTACCAGCGGTGTCAAGATCGGCCTCTGTGGAGGAGGAGGCTCGTGAAGGACGCTGCTCCTGGGCAATTGGAGGCAGTCACCCCCCAACAACAACGGAGGGCGGAGGAGCGAGGCTCACAACAACGAGCGGAGCGCCGGGTGGCTAAAATACGGTAAGTTGGTGTTGGTATAGTTGGGGGTACAGCTGGTGTGCATCTGCCAGTCATCTCAGTCAACCAACCCATGGCACCTGCTGGGTCTGTTCCTGTGGTGTCTTGCCAGCAGCGAGCCTTCGACACTTCACGTGGTGGCCTCAAATTGCACCTGGCCTGGCACATGCGCCTCTATGTGACGTCACCGTCACATAGAGGCGAATGGTGGGTATTGGTGTTGGTAGGGGTGTGCGAGTGAATCTGAATGTGAGCGATTGTGAGAGAGTGTGACAGTGTGAGAATGAGTGTGTGTGTGAGAGAGTGTGACAGTGTGAGAATGAGTATGCGTGTGTGTGTGCACGTGTGTGCGCACGTGTGCGTTTGTATGCGCGTGTGCGCGCGTGTGTGTGCGTGTGTGTGCGCGTGTGTGTGTGCGTGTGTGCGTGCGTGTGTGCGCACGTGTGCGCGTGTGTGCGCACGTGTTCGTGTGTGTGTGCGCACGTGTGCGTGTATGCGCGTGTGTATGTGCACGTGTATGCGCGCGTGTATGTGCACGTGTGTGTGCACGTGTGTGTGCACGTGTGTGCGCACGTGTGCACGTGTGTGTGTGCGCACGTGTGCACGTGTGTGTGTGCGTGTGTGCGCGCGTGTGCGCACACGTGTGCGTGTGTATGTGCGTGTGTGTGTGCACGTGTGTGTGCACGTGTGTGCGCACGTGTGCACGTGTGTGTGTGCGTGTGTGCGCGCGTGTGCGCGCACGTGTGCGTGTGTATGCGCGTGTGCGCGCGCGTGTGTGTGTACGCACAGTGGCTACGTTCTCCCCTTGTTCTATGTGGGTTGCCCAGAGCTAAGGTATCGACCGCACACCGAGGAAGCGCCTTTGCTCATGGGGATATTCTGTGCTGAGGAATAACCCCGGGCCAATGACTCGATCGTGGTGACAGCAGCAGCAGCAGCATCATCGCCACCCCCTTACCTGTGAAGCAGGACCCTCCTGCAAGGGGGTCTTGAGACTCGGTGAGACTTACCTGAATCAAAATAACGATAAAATAACAACCCAAAAGCACATTGAATCTAAACGCAACTGTTGTGTTGATGTTAACAGGTGTAAGGCCCCACTGTAGTAGTTCTTTATCAGAAGCGACCTGCCCATCACAAATGATAGCTCAGCCAAATTGGGCTCATCATCGTCATCATAATCATCATCGTCATCATCATCGTCGTCATCATCATCATCGTCATCATCATCGTCATCATCATCATCATCGTCGTCATCATCGTCATCATCGTCATCATTGTCATCGTCATCATAACCATCGTCAATATCGTCATCATCGTCATCATCATCGTCATCATCGTCGTCGCGTGGAAAGTTTACAGCAGCAGCCAAGTAGCTGTGAACGTGTGGTGACGTCGATCCTCAACGTGGAGGGGAATGAACCTGCAGGACACGGAGAGAAAATCCACGCGACCGCGGGGAGAGAGAGACACGCAGAGTCCAAATTATACAGCGGGCAGGCGTCAGGGTCGTGATTGAACCCACGACCTTCTGCATACCGGGGAAGGTAATTAACATCTCACCACCGTAATGATGATAATGAGAGAGAGACGCAGGAATAGAAAATAATAAAAATTAAATAAAAGCACACGATGTTTCGATTGCAACACAAGCCATCATCATCAGGTACAAATGAAAGAGAGAACAACCCTAGTAAATTTTTATTTAAAGCTTTAGTGACTGCAGGGATTCATATTCTTGGTTCTTTCAGTAAAGTCACTACGTAGAAGGGAAACAATAAAATAATAAAAATATATACATATTGTTTTATATTTTTATTATTTTATTGTTTCCCTTCTACGTGACTTTACCGAAAGAACCAAAATATGAAACCTAGTAAACTTAGAAATGTAATGCAATACAACACAGAGAGTCGGCTAACATTTGTACCTGATGATGGTTGCTTGTGTTGCAATCGAAACTTCGCGTGCGTTTATTTATTTTTTATTATTTTCTCCTTCTACGCGACTTGGTAACGAAATAACCAAATAGTGATTCCTGCAGTCACGAAAGCTTCAAATACAAATAGCAAGCAGCAGCAGGCAGCAGCAGGCAGCAGCAAGCAGCAGGCAGCAGGCAGCAGCAGGCAGCAGGCAGCAGCAGGCAGCAGCAGGCAGCAGCAAGCAGCAGGCAGCAGGCAGCAGCAGGCAGCAGGCAGCAGCAAGCAGCAGGCAGCAAGCAGCAGGCAGCAGGCAGCAGCAGGCAGCAGCAGCAGGCAGCAGGCAGCAGCAGGCAGCAGCAGGCAGCAGTAGCAGCAGCAGGCAGCAGCAGGCAGCAGCAGCAGCAGCAGGCTTTGCCAGGGTCGTGATCGAACCCACGCCCTCCTGCGTACCAGCCGAGCTGGTCAACATCTCCTCGCCTCCACGGCGACCCCAGTTGACGTCGGAGCGACGGACGGATACCAGTCGTACCCATGTGGGCGCGACTCACACCTCTTTGGCCTACTCTCCCATGTGGAAGAGTAGGCCAAATACCCCGTCTTCTGCCAGCAGTGGCTCCTGCAGCTTGGGTGTGACGTGGGGGTGACGTGGGGGTGCGCGGGACAGACGTTTGTGTGGAGTCGATGTTTCACGTGGCAGTTCCAATCATAATAATTATAATAATACAATTATTATTGTTATGATGATGATGGTGGTGGTGTTGATGAATTTCCTAATCAAGTGTAACTGCTTTCGGATAAACGTTTTAGATTTTGGAAAATTTCCACGACGGTGTCGTGTGGTGTGTGTTGTCATTTTTTTAATCCGGATTTTCAATTAATGTACACGGTGTCGTCACGGTGTCGTCACAGTGTCGTCACAGTGTCACAGTGTCGTCACAGTGTCACAGTGTCGTCATGGTGTCACAGTGTCACAGTGTCGTCACAGTGTCGTCACAGTGTCACGGTGTCGTCACAGTGTCACCACAGTGTCGTCACGGTGTCACAGTGTCGTCACAGTGTCACGGTGTCACGGTGTTGTCACAGTGTCACAGTGTCGTCACTGTGTCGTCACGGTGTCGTCACGGTGTCGTCACTGTTTCACAGTGTCGTCACAGTGTCACGGTGTCGTCACAGTGTCACAGTGTCGTCATGGTGTCACAGTGTCACAGTGTCGTCACAGTGTCGTCACAGTGTCACGGTGTCGTCACAGTGTCACCACAGTGTCGTCACGGTGTCACAGTGTCGTCACAGTGTCGTCACAGTGTCGTCACAGTGTCGTCACAGTGTCACGGTGTCGTCACGGTGTCACAGTGTCGTCACAGTGTCGTCACAGTGTCGTCACTGTCTCAGTGTCACAGTGTCGTCACAGTGTCGTCACGGCGTCATCATGGTGTCATCGTGTCGTCACGGTGTCGTCATGGTGTCGTCACAGTGTCATCATGGTGTCACGGTGTCGTCACAGTGTCACAGTGTCATCATGGTGTCGTGGTGTCGTCACAGTGTCATCATGGTGTCACGGTGTCGTCACGGTGTCGTCACGGTGTCGTCACGGTGTCGTCACGGTGTCACAGTGTCATCATGGTGTCACGGTGTCGTCACAGTGTCATCATGGTGTCATGGTGTCGTCACGGTGTCATCATGGTGTCATGGTGTCGTCACAGTGTCACAGTGTCATCATGGTGTCGTGGTGTCGTCACAGTGTCATCATGGTGTCACGGTGTCGTCACGGTGTCGTCACGGTGTCGTCACGGTGTCGTCACGGTGTCACAGTGTCATCATGGTGTCACGGTGTCGTCACAGTGTCATCATGGTGTCATGGTGTCGTCACGGTGTCATCATGGTGTCATGG